GTTATTTTTATTATAAACATTATAATTTTTATAATGTTTTTTAACATTAGTAACAGCAAAATAAGATTACGTAAAATATTTTGTAAATCAAAGAAACGGGTAAACGGGCGAGACGGGCAGCGCGTACGGCTCAGGGGGAGTTAGTAAAAGGGTTGCCAGCGAGGCGGAAAACAAACAAGCAAACAAGGACTCACGGTGGCATAGCAGTACGTACACGGCATACCCGGCACCAAGGGGTGAAATCTAGAGAGAGAGATAGAGAGAGATAGATAGAGAGAGAGAGAAGAGAGACACACACAGAGAAAAAAAAAAAAAAAAAAAAGGAAAAAGAGAGAAGAGAGAGAGAGAGACAGAAGAGAGATAGAGTAGAGAGAGAGAGATAGAGAGAGAGAGACAGAGGAGAGAGAGAGAGAAAGAGAGCGAGAGAGAGATAGAGATAGACGAGACGACAGAAGATCGAGAGAGACACGAAGTAGAGAGAGAGAGAGAGAGAGAGACAGAACAGAGAGTAAGAGATAGACGACGACAGATAGAAAGACAAGAGAGAGAGAGAGGAGACAGAGAGAGTAGAGATAGGAGAATAAGTTAGATAGGAGAGTCAGAGGAGTAGAGACAGAGATATAGAGTAGAGATATAGATAGAGATAGAGATAGATAGAGATAGATACATAGATATATAGACAGATAGAGATACAGAAGATATATATATATAGACATTATATATATACATATATATATAATTATAATATTATCTATATTAGACTATATGAGAGATACATAGTATTATATATACATATAGATACAGAGATATAAAGATATATATAGATCTACTATAAGATATAAAGATATTATATATATGATATATATATAGATATATATATATGTATCCTGAGATGGCAACCGTAGCCGATAGATGGCTCTGTAGCGACTGATTTGAAATGACGGGAAAAACGGATTTGTCACTAATGCAGAATATCAAAATAGGTTATTGTTAGTATAACACATTATAAGTTTTATAATGTTTTTAACATAGAACAGCCAACTAAGATGACGTAAAATATTTGTAAATCAAAGAAACGGGTAACCGGGCGGACGGGCGGTGCGCGCACGGCTCATTGGGGAGTTAGTACAAGTGTTGCCATCGAGTGTAAAAATCAATCAAACAAGTACTCATGGGGGCATAGCACGTCCGTACACGCATGAACCCGGCACCAAGGGGGTAAAGAGAAATAGATATAGATATAGAGAGATATAGATAGAGAGAGAGAGAAGAGAAGTACATAAGAGAAGAGAAGAGAGTAGAGAGAGAGAGAGAGAGACGAAGATAGAAGAGAGAGAGAGACAGAAAGAGATCGAGAGGAGAGAGAGAGTAGGAGAGAAATAATAGTAAGAGAGAATAGAGATGAGATAGAATAGAGACAGATATAGAGTATAGAGAGAGAGATAGTAGAATATACAGAGATACAGATAGAGAGATATATAGACATAATTACAGATATAGAATATAGATACAGATAGAGATATATAGTAGATATAGATAGATATTAGTATAGAGATATATAGAGAGAGACAGATAGACCGAGATAACAGATATACAGAGATAGAATGACCAGCAGAAGAGACAGCTAGAGGAGATAGAGAGAGAGAGATTAGCCAGGGGCCGGGGAAAAGGAACAAAAAAGGGGGAAAAAGGGCCACGTTCTAGGGGTGCGTGAAAGGCGCTGCCGAGAGATGGCGTCTGCGAGCGCCCGGAGGGGAATGGCGGGAAAAGCGTTATTGGCACGGTGCGAGAGGGCGAGGGGTTAGTGGTTAGCATAAACAGTAGAATTGAGTAAGGTTGGTTAACCATTAGGACAGAAAAGAAGAGGACGTGAAAAAGTAGGGGGGAAAGCAAAGAAACGGGTAATGAGCGAGTACGGCGGGTTCGGAAACCGGATCAGTGGGGAGTTAGGTACAAGTGTTGCCAGCCTAGGCGGAAAAACAGCAAACAAGTACTCACGGGGGGCAGAGCACGGACGGAAACGGCAGACCCGGCAACCAAGGGGATAGATAGAGCAGACAGGAGAGTGGAGAGACAGCGAGAGAGATACAGAGATAGAGATAGAATGAGAGAGAGGAGAGAGAGAGACTGATAGAGAGATAGAGTATATAGAGACCAGTAAGTAGGAGCATAGAGAGAGAATATAGAGAGATAGAGAGAGATAGAGCGAGAAGATAGATAGAAGAGAAAACAGCCAGATAGAGATAGATTATAGATTATGATAAGATAGATATAGATATATAGAGAGAGTATACAGAGAGAATATATGAGAAGATCGATATATCTAATATAATATATATCTATATAGATAGTGATATGTAAGTAGTGTATATATGATAGATGTCTGAATAGGTAATAGGTATATATGTATGAGATGTAGTATATGTATATGAGGTATAACATATATAATCTACATAGATATAGTACAAGAGATATAATATATACTATATAGAGATATAGATAGAGAATAGATACATTATTCATATATAGTATTAGATAGAGATAGATGAGAGAAGAGAGAGAGATAGATTAGAAGATGAGAGATACAGAAGAGAGATGATTAGATAGATTATATAAGAGCAGAGAGATAGAGAGATAGACATATAGATACCAGGAATAGAGATATAGTATATATATAGAGATAGAGATATATATATATATATACAGATAGGATGAGATAGATGATATATAGAGAGAGAGCACAGAGAGAGAGAGAGAGAGAGAGATAAAGAAGAGAAGAGAGAGACATTAGATAATTCAGATAGATAGAGACAGAGAGAGAAGGATATAGATACAGCGATATATATATACAGACATAGAATAGAGAGACAGACAGAGCTTAGAGATATGAACAGAGATAGAGAGAGAGAGAGAGAGTAGATAGAGAGAGAGAGATAGGAGATAATACATAGAGATATACATATATTAGACAATATAGAAGAGAATATATACAGAGCTATATAGAGATATATATATATAATAGAGACGATAATACAGATATATATAGATAGAGACAGATAGATATATAATAACATACTATAGATATATAGAGACATATAGGGAGAGAGAACATATAGATTATAACAGATATATATATACATAGATATATCTAATATATATAGCTACATATGATGATATATACAGAGATAGACAGAGATAGATATATATATGATATATAGAAGAAGAGAATAGATTATATAATATAGATATATATATACAGATGATACGGATATATATATAATATATCTAGACGATATATATGATATATTATATATATCCATATATATAGATATTATCTACCCATATACATAGATATAGATATAGAGATAGAGTATACATATAGAGACAGATAATATATATATAGAAGATATATATAGTATATAGCATATCATATATTATGATAGATATACATAGACATATACATAGACAGATACATATACATATACAAGATACTATACACTAACATATACAGATAAACAATACATAGACATTAGACATATAGATACAGATACTATACTATAGAAGAAATATAACAGACATAAGATATATATAATAAATATATACATATATGATATATATATATATATATATACATATATATATATATATATATATATATATATATATATATATATATATATATGTATATATGTATATATGTATATATGTATATATGTATATATGTATATATGTATATAGATATATATATATATATATATATATATATCTATATATAATATATATATATATGCATATATATATATATATATATATATATATATATATATATATATGCATATATATATATATATATATATATATATATATATATATATATATATATATAT